ACGGCCGTCTTCGATACATCCTCCAGGGCAATAGGGATTTGATGAAAGGCCAGGACAGTGTGAACCCTCGAGAATGCAGACTTGTCGAATAGGTCACCGGCAAAATCCTGAAGATACGGAACAGGGTACTGATGAGACAAAGTGATTTTGTTCCGGACACGATCATCGCCACGAAGACGCCAAGCATCCGCCTGTGCTTTAGGAATTATGTGCAAAGGCGATATCCAGGAACTGCCGGACTGCCTAGTAATAATGTGGTTACATTCACAAGGCGGATTGGGGCAAGACGGCGGGGGTGAAAAAAATACAGGAGAACCAGTCGCTTTTATGTGATAAACAATATCGTGGGGTAATGAAGAGTCAGAAAAACGGGGCTTGGGGAGATAAGGATATTGAATTAATCGTTTCCGAAATGGACAATCAGGGTTCGGAGTAAGGACAGAGAGAAAGTTGGAAACTGGGGGTGAGGAAGAGCCTTTCGCGGAGAGAGGGAAGTGCCCTGGTCATAAAGGCGAAATTGCCTGCAGTCAAACAAGAAAGTCGAAATCGGCTAAAAAGTCAGCATCAAGGATAGCGGTTGGGACATAAGCTACCATAAATATCCTAGAGAATAGTCGCCGGAGAGAAATATCAAGGGAAAGGGGAATGGGATCTAAAAATCATGATGGAAGAAGCGTTTTGTGGTCTGGAGCAAAAGATCATGGTTGGGATAAGGTTGGTCGGCTGGAGCAGGAGGAATGACACCAGTGCCTACCACTCTTGCTGTCGTAGATTTAAAATGTGCGATCGGTAGTGTTGCCAGAGGGCTCAGTCGTATTTACTCGTCGCCCGAGGACTTGAAATAACGGGGGTGGGACACAACGTCGAGCCTTGCCACCAAATTTAACGTGATGCCAACAAAAGTTGGAAATTCTCGGGCGAGATCGGGGACGACGCTGGTCGCGACTGAAGGAACAGCGTGATGGGCCGGCAGATTCGCGCAGCTCCAGAGTAATAATAGTTGTCGAAAGTTCAGTAACCTGTGATGTAAGCTCGATCAATTCAGCAGTGGATGCTATAAAACCTGCGCAACCGTCGTAGCCGACAAAGGTTCAACCTCCATCATGCGATCGGTCACTTCAAGTAGCTTCGATATATCTTAATAATATGAATCAGAAGCCAAGATCTTTTGGACAAACGTCGCAGTCATTCTAAGAAAATCTCCTTAAAGAACCTGTCATTGATAGTCATGTTCCTGACAGGAAAACGTATACGACTTATAAGTTCGAGCGTCTTGCTGTCGCCTAAAGCCTCTTCTTTTAAAAGCGCATGATAACGATGCCGATCAGTAATCAAGGTCAGACGTAGAAGCTCGGCCTTAAGTTAAGTATATGGAGCATCACCTGGTGGATCAGGCGAACATATTTGGACTTTAGAAAGGATGGTGGGAGGAAGAGCCTTAACCAACTTATAATATTTGTCTATCTTCTGTGTACCTCTCCCAGAATGGAATTTCGCCGCAAGACGGAAACCCTGAAGTTCAGGTTCGTATTGCCAAGAATCTGAGAGGGTCAATGCAACTCCAGTAAGAGAAGTAGCAGCCTCCTTAGGACCCATAGTGGAAATTTTGAAGGCTGATTTATAGATTATGGGAAATATAGCGCGAACTTCGAAAGGCCACTCCTGTGGTGAATATAAGAACGCTATCACGAAGCCCAGACTTATAATATAAGGACACGATAGGAGACATGCAAGAACTAATAATCGAAAGAAAAACGATCTGAACAGCGCACAGATGCCATACGCAAGCGTTTAAGCAGGGGTTGTACACTGTTCGTAAAACAAACGGTTCAGTTTCAAAAGGATACACAGATATGCAACGTTAAAGTAGTCCGGCACCTCGGCACAGCACGCTTAGGTACAAGCTCACGCCATGCCATCCATCCGCGCTCGATCCCGCCTCCGGTCTTCATGATCTTGTCTTGACTCCGGGCTCGGGCGAATGAAGTAAAGTAGAGTGCGACTGATGCAACGAAAATCTTCGACCACTTACGACTAAACATGCCAACATGATTGCAGCTGTGGAATCGGTCATTAATCAGACGGAAGCAATGGAGGAGACGGAGAACCTTAGCCGACACCAGATATCGTCCCTCCTTATGGCTCATCAACCGCGCGAACCCGCATGTTCGCTTCTATTTGGAACTAATCCATGCGCAAGTCGTCGACCATGCACCACCATCCTGTGGAGCACACAGTGGACTATGTCAGTTACAAGCAGTCGGCGGAGGTTGCGGTTGAAACTGTCGTTCCCCAAGGCTCCGTTCTCGGCCCTACTCTGTTCATTATTCAAGACAACGATTGTGTCAGCGAACTGAATTGCGATATCGCCATGTTTATCCCTGATGTCACATTTTGGAGTGTTATTTAAAGTGCAGCTGACGAAGAGCATTTGCAGGCAACCTTCCGCCGACTCCGAAAATGGTCAGAGGACGGGCTCATGCCGTTCAATGAGAGCAAGTGCAATGTTATAGGAATCAGCACAACTAACTTTTCTAACCTCATGTTCTACCGTCTGAATGGGATATCATTGCGAGAAATGGACGCCCAGAAGGACTTGGGAATGTGGATCACGAGCTGCTTTAAACCTCCACTGCATTGTTCAAAAGTTGCCAAGTCTGTGATGTCAGTCCTGTACGGCTCCGCTAAAGACATTTGAACCTACGTGCGGCCGCAACTGAAGCTCGCTGTTCAAGCTTGGGGACCATGGGCTACGGAAGTCATCAACATTTTCTAAAGGTCCAAAGGCATGCAACCAAACTTTTGGCCAATTAATCGGAAAAAACGCACCTGTCTAATCTTGATCTATTTCATTTGAGCTACAGAGAACTACGAGAAGATCCGGTTTAAACATTTCATATCATGCGCGGTCAGGACTGCTGCTATCTACCTGGTGACTTCTTTGAGTTAGCAACAACAAAAAAGCAAAAGTTTAATACGAAAGTAGGTAGTGAAGACAGTTCTGGAAAGCATAAAATAGCACTTGTGATTGCAGGAAATGCGTTTAATCTAATCTGAAGACAAAATCACTGCCAAGATTTGAGGTATTTTTTAATCATCTCTAATTTTAGATTTACGCACCCTTATAATAATACTCTTCATCATCTTTACAGAGTCCTGTGAACAATCAACCCGTTCAGCTTCTCCATGCCAGTTCTACGATTTGCCCTCCCATGAAGGGAATAGATGTTGATACCGGTTACTCTACCAGATCCAAATACGACCTAGTGGTGATTGTCAAGTCGGCAGTTTACAACTTCGAGAATCGTCAAACATTCCGCAGTCTCTACGCGCGAATCAACGACTTCAATGTACCCACTGCACACCCCTTGCGAATAGGTATCGTCTTTTCTGTTGGTCTACCGCGACGATCCGGAAATCAGACATTCGAGCGTGACGGGTTTAACGTCATCCTGCCCGATCGAGCTGGAGAGGCTCTCACAGACATTGAACAAACCCATCCTCTCGTCCTCCAGCGTCTGAGGGGAGAGAGGTTGCAGTATAACGATCTCCTCATAGGTGACTATGAAGACACCTATTATAACCTTACGACCAAAATGATGGCTAACTTCCAATGGGCTGCCAGGTTCTGCCGAACAGAACGACCCGGCTTCCTCTTCATAGACGACGATTACGGCTTCCATCCGACAAATCTACGTCGCTTTCTCACCCGTCTGGAAGCAGATTGGCGAGAGCACATGGTCATTGGTTTGGAACGGACCGGATCTCCGACTGTCCGTTTTGGCGAAGATGCCAGATTTGACAAATGGGCGCTCTCCAAACGTGAGATGCCCTGGCCCTATCTGCCACCATTCAGTGCTGGGGCTTTCTTCTTCCTGGGTTATGAACAGGTGGAGAAGCTGGCTATCGCAATGCACTTTACTCGCAGTCTCCCTCTTGACGATGTCTGGTTGGGTCTGGTCATGACGAAGCTGGGTCTCCGTTTTCAGTATCGAGTTGGCCTTCGGTTCACCCAGACAGCCATTTCCATTCGGAAGCGGGACATTATAATGCCCATGTCAGCTGTCTATAAAAGACTAGCCATTTAAACTACCTGACAATGCTGGGAGCTCAGAAAGATCCCTTTACTGTTATTTTTTAGCCTTTTTTAATCTTTTTAACACACCATTCGTCCTTTAATCCTTTCATATAATGGTGGATGTGCGCTCACGGACCAGGCCCGGAGCTCCCTCGTTCAGTCATTGGCTTTTATGTCTGCGAATAGAGACAATCAAACTGACAACTGCATAAGGAGGAACATCCCAGAATTCTCTATAAAAGGAAAAACTTTCAAAATCTGTCTTATAGTAAAGCAAAGAAATCTGTGATTCAGAGCGATCGTTTGAGGATCTTTATCGCCGCGGAAAATTCCTTTCTTTCATAATATACCAAAAACATAATCCGATTATTGGAACATGCTGATATATCTACTTCGCCGTAAGGCTATTTCGCTTCATCTGAAAATTGCACTTCAAAAACATGTAGCTAGGTATAGCAGTTGACTCTTTTTATCTATAATGGGCACTTCCCTTGAGAACCGTATAAATAGCGGTACAATCTTCAAATGGAGACAAATAAGTAAACGTAAAATGAAAACCAACTTCTTCCCTTTTCATACTTTTTTTGTAAAAGTAACCGCAGGGCGCTAAACATTCCGTATGGGGAGAGCAGCAGATTGGTGAATGCTGAGGAAGTAAGCACGAAAACAGGTTTACTGGTTTATAGGTTTACAAGATAAACAGTGAGTAATGTATAGTAAACTACGCTGATGTGTATACTGAATTCTTACCGGGTATGATTATAACTACACTAAAGGTTTCTGCTAGAGCTACTTTTAGGGTTAAGACACTGGAATATTATAACTTTCCTCGAATTATGTGCAGGGCCAACTATAGAACTGGGCGAGACGTTCCTACTCTTAACAAACAATTACTACTTTTATATTTCTTTTAAGTATCAAGTTTGCCTAAAATTGTTCATGATTATTTCAACGTTTTGTACATGTTTTAATGCCGGTTTGCGAGTGATTATCAATATTTCTAAAACGCCTTCTTTCTGCATGACTTTCCGGTCGTACTGTATGCATGTACCCTCTTGGGTACTCAACTTGCGCTGAAAAATTCCTCTTTTTTCTTTTGCCGACTTTCAAGCGATGATGCGCCCACACCTAGACTGCTACTTTCCAGGGCAGCCTGAACGCAACAGTTAGGTGACCCTATGCCTAGTGTCTGTCCCCCATGTTAGATGTGCGTTCTGTATTGCTAAGTATCTCTATAATACAGCTTGGTTGTGGGTCTTGAATAAAACAAAAGGATGAAATGCAAATAAGTAAATAAAACAGGACATTTAGATCGACATCAACCTAAAATTGTAGCCGATGGCTGAAAGGTAATCACTTAATAAACCAGTAAAATCTCTATGAGTACGGGTCAGATTTAGCCTTTCAGGCGAACTGCTCACCTAGGCTCGTAGCACTTACCGACATATTGGCCGTCACCTGCTTGCAGCACTTTGAGCTTCTAATCATTATCGACGGTAGCAGGCCCTTGGATGCGTGCAACTTTCCCATGAAGAAGAGCATCCATTTTGCAGGATTTTTCCTGGAACTCCATGCCTAGGCTCGTATTGCTTACCGGCATATTGTCACTAATAAGGGCACTGGCAGCGGAAATTCTAACTAATCGCGGAATGGGATTTAAAGCACTGCAAAATCTTCGTGAGCTGTTCAAATGGAGTCGTAATTTTTAACAGTTTTGTGGACGTTTGGCTACACACACACACCTCTTCGTACTGACTTGGAAATCACTGTGGTACACATTTAGGAAGTTAATGGTTAACTGAGCCCGCAACTTTTACAGCAGTTTACCCCAGCAGACTATGAAAATTCCGACCGTCAATAAATTCGAATCACTCGGAACTATTTGCTCTACCTCACTTGGCGTCCATGGGGGATAAACCTAGATGCGTTGTTATAGGAGCTGCCTCGGCGCTTACCTTCTTTCGTGCCGAGATTTCAGTGCATCTTATTTCCCCTTATGATTCAAAAGCATAGAAATATTCAGATCAAGTAAATTTTCAAATATTATTGTTACTCTCGTATGGTCTAAACTTTTGTAAACTGATGGGCGTTTATTTTTCGTAGGAAAATGTTTAAGTAATGCCTTCGGTACGGTTGTCTTGTATGGCCGCATGAACAGACCACGACAATAGTAAACACCCCACCCGCTTGACAGATGTGCGATAAATGTAAGGAAGGATAAATAGTCCCGTGTCGTAGGTCTAACAGTAATCCTAACATGAATCTAAACTTTGGAATTTATATTTGTTAGCGCCAGAACGGCACTGTCAAGACAAG